AGTCTCCTCTACCTATTTTCCATTTGTTCATGTTCCCTTTATCGCAAAATGCCACCGGTCCTAAACGTTCCTTTTTATTGGCTTTTGAACCCTTATACTACTCGAGTGTAAGGGAGGTTTTTGGAACTCACGGTGCGTGAGGACATCGGACTCGCTGAGACAAGGCCTTACCTCAGGGATTGCGCTTTCCTGACTAAGACTGAGCTAAGGAAGACCTTGAATAGTGGCCAAAGTAAACATGGGTTTTTGTAACACCGATGTCCATTTAGTCTGTTGCTTAATGGGTGGTAAACTCAGAAGCAAACAAATTTAGGGAAAATTAAAAAAAAAAATTTGAACACGTTTCCTGCGAATGTTTGTCTGGTATTAAACATGTCACTTGAAGTGAAATGGACAAATCGGCCAAGGTTCAGTAATCATGCCAATTAGCTCATTCTCACGAAACAAGCAAGAAACCCTACGATACAGCAGGCTTAAACTTTTACTACCCTTAAAGCAAGAACATTGCTACACTGGATAATATTTCGTTCCTTTTTTTTCTCACTATCAAAAACACCGAAATGTTAATCCTATGTCACTATATTTTTAACACAGGCAAGGAGGCAAGGGAGAAATGTTGAAGACTGATAAAAGAAGTCAGATTAATGTGAGCTAGCTGTTTGTACCCCTTTTTACATACATGTAGGATTTTATACCTGATTGTTTTTGCGCGAAATTTTGTCGTTTAAGGCGGCACAAATGAAAGGAACGGAAGTAAGGTTATGATGACAGCTGACCCGGATATAGCAGTGTCAGATAAGAACCCCCGGATATACCATTGTCAGATTAGAATTTAAGTCTGCCAGCTTATGGGGTATCAGATGGAACATAGACCTTGTCAAGTGGATACAAACGTTATTTTCTAATGCTTAACTAAATCGGCATTTCTTCAATTGCAATATGGGTGTGGTTTCATTGGAAGCCGTTTCTTATTTGGCAACTTGGTCTGATTTTCGATGGGTTCTGGTATTCAGTTTGAAGAATTTGGAGGCAAACGTCGTTTATATTTTGATTTGAATAAAGAGGCTTCTAATAGGGCTGTGCATTTTGGCTCAGGCACCAACCATCATCAGCCGTGGTACCCGGTGGGGGAGACTCCGCATATGAAAGTGGTGGGGATGCTCGTCGTCTCGCTTAGGGGGTGTAAAATTCGGATTTTGGTCTCAATTAGGGTATTCTGGGCGAAACGCCATCATATATTAAGCCGTGAAGGTCTCGTTTAGGGTTGCGCGCGAAAAAATATAAAAATATATATTTGATATGTGTATTTTTAATCCGTTTTATTTGCTCCATTCATATAATCCAAGGTTTTTCATTTGTTTGTGTTTTAACATGGTCTCTTTTAGACATCAAAAAAGCTTGGGCCACGCCCAGATCGGTCTCCTTTAGGGGTTTAATTCAAAATTTCCGACGAGCATTCCCGCCCCTTTCATATGCGTAGTCCCCCCCCGGGGCCGTGGTACCGTGGGGGAGTTCCCCAGGCTTATCCTACATACGTGATGTTTGCAGAGGGTCGGAAGGAGGGTGTGAGTGGGGTCACACTGTGTTGTTTTATTTAGTGTCACTGCTAATGTTATTGTCCTGTTTTTTTAAGTGTGTAACAGTAACTGTTACGTAAGAGTACAAGTAAGGTTTCAAGTAAGGTGTCACCTTGCCCTAAAAAAAAAACAACAACAATCTTAGATGTTGTTTTGATATTCCTCGTTAGACCCTCTGCGAAGAAAAACAAATCCGTTGGAGATAAAAAGCATAATGCCCTTGATCCTCAATTCAAACACTTGCACATAAGTCAGTTCAACAGCCTTTCTTACGTTAGGTGTCACCGAACCCCAAATAGCAAATTTTAGGTGTTATTGTAGTATTCCCCATTAGACCCTCTGCTACGATGATGATGTCACGGCAATTCCTTCTTCAAATGTGTCTTTTGTTTAGTGCTGTTTTGTCATGTTAGACTTTAATAGTTTCTTAAGTAAGGCGTTGGCACCGTTCATTATGGTTTTCCCCGTTGGACCCTCTGCAAAGATAATGATATCGCAATAACTCTTCCTTCAAAAGTTATCAATTGTTTTGCGATGATTTGTCACATTAGAGTTCAACGGCTTCTTGTTAGGTGTCACCGAGCCCAAATACAGTCACTTTAGGTCAGGGCACCCATCGACTGTCTCTACATAAATACATTGAAAACACTTTTTAGACTACCCTGAACACTTTTAGATATCTAGAAATGCAATCTAAGCGACGCTATGTAAAATTTGTAACTGTTCGATTATCCTAGGGGAAGTTAATTCTTTTCGAAATTACAAGGGCTTCAGTGTTATTTCCCGAAAATTTTAGCTGCAAATTATCGTTTTACGAAAGTGAGAATTTTTCTGGCTCCTCGCTCCATCACATTTTTGAATCCGAAAATTTTAGGTTTCCTTTTTCTACGAAAAAATAGCCTAACCTGGGTAAATGAATGGAACAGTCATCTAGAAATTTTAAGCCGTTCTCAAGCAATCGAAAAATCTAGGCCATATTTGCTTCTCCGAACAGATATTTTACAGAAAACAGTCGTTAGTTGCCCCTGTTTAGGTGCTATTGTAGTATTCTCCGTTAGACCCTCTGCAAAGATAATGATATCGCAGTTACTCTTTCTTTAAGAGTTATCTACTGCTTTGTGATGTTTTGTCATATTAGAGTTCAACAGTTTTTAAGTTCGGCGTCGGCACCGAGCTCCCAAAAATAATGTTAAGGTGTTATTTTGATATTGCCGTTAGACCCTCTGCAAAGATACTGACAAGTCTGTCCATGTGGCCTTCATTCAAACAGTCACGCGTATATTTCAGTTCCACACTCCTTAGTTCGGTTTAAATATTCGAGCTCGTTATTCTCTAGAATAAATTTTTTCATAATTGATCCATTGTTTTGGCATTTATATTCTGGAAAAACTCGCCTATCTATCGCTTTTTAGGTCTGCAATTCTCCGCCCATTCCTAATCTTCTTTCGGGTAAAGTTTTCTTGTTAAGTAAAAGGCATAACCGCCTTAACCTAGTGGAAGGCCAAACATTTCATTCAAAATGTACGTTTCGAGTTTCAGTTGGCGCAAATTTAGAATATCTTTTAAGTCCCACAAACCAGTCAGCAAAACCTACAGACTTGACTGGTCTCTTTTCCTTTCTTTTTTTCTCTTTCTTTTCCACATCTTCGACTTATCATGGCGTTCGTAGAAGCAGCGGACCTGCCATTTCGGCGGGAAAAAGTGCTATAAAATTTACCTTAACATAAACCGATCCGTGAAAACGCTATGACATAGCCAAGTATGGAGTTGCTCTCTCCAGCCGTTATGGTCTCCTGAAAGCGCCCCCATTGACAGCGGAAATGGGACTCGTTTTTCGGGAGAATATTGGTCCCTAGGCGTAGCTATGTTGTAATACCAAGGACAAAAGACAACGTATCAGGAAAGCCGCTGAATGCAAACAATTGCAAAATGAAATCTGAAAGTTGTCGACTCATGTAAGTGAATGCAAAATGGTCTTGGATTCTGGATTCCTTGCCGTGGATTCCGGATTCCAGGTATTGAATTACAGTCTTTGTTGCTGGAATTTGGATTCTAAATTCCTTTAGCTGTATTCTGGATTCCAAATTCCATGATTCCGGATTCCACAATTAAAATTTTCCCAGATTCCGGAATCCCGATTCCCTTACCTAGGGCGAAACCTTGACTTCGTTCACTATTATATCATGGGAATATCCTTTGTTCTAGAATTTGTTTACGAGGTGTGTTCAACAAAATATTCAGCCACAAATGACAAAATAATCATTAGGAATACTCCTGAATAAGGAGAGCGGATTATTGACGATTTCTAAACATGTTGCCCTGCCCTTCAATACCATGAGTGATTCCCCTTTGGTGGGGAGTGGGTCAGTGAGTCCCAACATAGACTACCGCTCGCAAAAGTTAAAAAAAAAAAAAACCTCATTCTTACCCTTTTGATTTATTATATTTTCCAGTCCTAGCAAAACTTTGTATGGGTAGAGTTACTAAGGTTCCTTGAAGTCGTGCATTTTGTAATGATAAGCACCATGTTGCGCTTACAAACAGATCAGAAATTACAGCAAAAGAAGTTAAGGAAACTCACGGGTATAGTGCAACACAATAAAACCTTTCAGGCACAATGAAGTTGTAGTCTCATTCAAACGTTCCACTTAACGGAGTTAACGGGCGCATGGCAACTAGGAATGTATAGGTGTAGTGAGACACCAGAAAATGACAACAAGGAAATCTCTCACACTTATATTTTATCACTTTTTGTCTCCGAAGAGTACCTCGCCGCTTCTCACAGCATGGTACCCAAAACGTTCCTAGCGGCAAAAGCGAGGGAAGACGACTGTATTCGCAGGCTACAAATAAAAACAAACTTATAATTTATATTATTATACATTGTACTCATTTTCTGTCTTCTCATTGGCTGAGAGCCTACAGCTAATTTTGGAAATCAGTGCAGCCTGCAGGTTAATTATCTGCTAGCAGATAACTGACTAATCTGTAGGTTGCGCGCGCAATGCATGATTTCCAATAACAATTACATCAATCGAGGTTCCTTGCGACGGTGTGTTTGTCGTTATTTTCTTACAATGTATAATGAAATAATTATTAGATTCGGTTTTTGTGATATCCTAAATAATTGTTTATAAACAAGAAAAAACAGGAATTAAGCACATAAGATATTATAGCTATTTTCAGGAAAGATAATTGAGAAGTCATCTGACAGCTCAAGGCTATTCAATGTTTCTCTGCTTCTGGAAACAGATTTACGGCACTCATCTTGGTAGGCCTTAGAAAATCCTTTGCTGGCGACAAAAAATATGCCAATAAAGAATCCGAGAACGAAATGTTGTTGCACTTTCATCTTTTCCTGCTAGCCCTTGCACCTAAGATGGTGTGAACCTGCCCTCTCCACCAAGGCCGTCACAATCAGGATCACAGCCTCAGCTTCATTCTCAAAAGCCTGATGATTCTCTTTTTCAGTTCATTGTACTGAATAGCCCGCCTCAAGTGATTTCTTCTCTTTTTCTCTGGCCGCAGGTTTATCACCAAAAACTGACGGTAACGGGGCTTCTGACGTCTCGAGCTTCTGCTTCCCTTGATGGGAACTCCACCCTTGGAGAATCCGATAAACCACTGAGGATACTTGACAGATTCGAACTCGGAGTAACCATTGTTTGCTTGTATTTGTCGGAAGATACATCTCTTCAGGGTTCGATTTTTTTGTTTCTGCAACTGATGATTAAGGGGTAAAATAAGTACTATGGATATTTGATACAGGAAGGATTTGTAATAGTGGTAGGAATGAGCGGAGTACAGTAAAAATCCGAGAGCAGGAACCTGGTTTTAAAGTACCTGTTAGGCTAAAATTTGCCAGTGAGGCACCCTCTATACAAGAACCTGTTTAGCCTAAAATTTGAAACAGGTTCTTCTTTTCAAAAATCTACAAAAAAGTCTGTACACTTGGGCAAATAAGATAAGTCAGCATTCAGGATCTTCTTTGAAGAGGTAACTGGTGCCTTATCACTCCAATTGGAACTGTAATATTGCATGCAGATTTTTATGTAAGGAATAAGCTTAACAGCCCTAAATTCTCTTAGCTACAATGTATTTTCTTATGAAAATAAGGACCTACGTAAGAACCTAAATAGCCTAAATTTGTGCTTATTACCATTTAAGAAGAACCTGTTTCGGCTAACTTGGCGGGAAAATGCAGATTCATACTCGCGGGTTTTTTCCTGTACAATTCCGCGGAATAATCAGGTAAGTAATTTCATTTAAAATTACGATTTTGACTTACTACCCCGATTACACCTGAATGCGACACGAGGCCTCATTAGCAGTTAAATGTGAGTCATTAGAATGCATGTAAAGTCATTGAATCAGTCAAGTTTCTCCCATTTTTACCTTTTCAAGCTCAAGCTGTACAGCCTCTTACTCATAATTGTTACATTGATTTTGACTACTTATCATCGGCTATGGCTATTTAGTTGAGTTTCATTGGCTAGAAACATTTGCTTCTTGATTTTCATTCGCTATTAAACTGACCAATTTGACCCGTCCGATTGCAAGCTCCTGATAATGGGAAGGATTAAGCAGAAAAAAAAAAAAAAAAAAAAAAAACCTTTAAAAAACATTTTGGCACAGAAAATTAATTTTTTCTCCTAAAAAAAAAAAAGAAAATATAATTTTTCTCCAAATTCCTCCCCATCTTTTTTTTTTTTTACCGAAAACACAATATATATATCTGTTCTGTTTTAGCATTAAAAAAAAAAAAAAAAAAAAAAAAAAATGGACTGTTAAGAGCCAGTTGGGCACGGTACATTACATTTATACCCGAAAAGAAAAAAGGAAAACTTAAAGTTCTCTCAAATTCCTCTCACTACTTTCTTTATTTTACCGAATACTCCAATATTTAGTTGTTTCGTTTTAACTATGTAGAAATCATGACTCTCCCAGCAATTACGTAACCTTGATCTATAACGGTGATTGCCCATAACCGTGTTAAGTTCTGGTACCCCTACCATTATATTTCAAATACAAAAATAGACACTTCAAATCTCATCATTAGTTAAAAGTCCCCAACTAGGTGATTAAAGTTCTTTTTAAAGGTGGATTAGAAAAAAAATCAAAATAGCATGACAATCATGCCGCTCACCGTGGGAGTTTACTCTCTCCCAGTCGTGGGCAGTTCACACTGAAGGACTCTATTAACTGGAGAGGGGCATGTATAACCGAGGAGAGGGTTAAATCGAGCAGATACGGTTATCTATCATCGTTCGGGCAACAACTTCATTGTTTGCCAAAGTTAACATGAGGCTGCCTCATGTGTTTGGGTAAGCTGTCCGTGGTCCCATTTGGTACGCTTTAAAGAGAATATCACGCAATAAACAGCATGACGTACTAGACCGCGGGAGGATAACTTTTGGTATTCATTGCATGAATAGAATCTCATGTGGTGAAAACGAACAATCACTTTACCCTGATAGGGCGGATAATCTAGACACCTACTCGCGCGCGTGCACGCGATAAATTTCCAGTCGTTATGATAGTTATAAAAACACCGCCATGGACCTAACTTTTATTTTAATTCAACTATTTTGACACTTGGTACAGCCGAGATCCTGTGATGTATTTTCTAAATTATCATAAACCCGCTAAACCCATAAGCCTTTGCCTTTTTTTTTTTTTTTTTGCGAAGAAGTTTTCGAGAGGCTGAAAATTCTCAATAATAAAACTTAACATGGATCTGACCGTGAACAATGCTTCAAACCTTTTGATATCTAAGGGGTCTTAAGAAGTAGTTTGGCTTTATCTACGTTTGTCGTATAGGGTTTTTAAGTTCCTTTTATAGTCTTGTAGTTACTGACTGCCATCCATCAGCTCTTATAGGAGTCTTATACGAGTCAAGGGAGGCCCCCATTTTTGCTTTTTTGTTTTCCCTGGGACTCGCGATAGGAGCCCTGCCCGGATTACGCATAACATAGGGAAGATCAACATCTATATAACATGCACATTTATAACATTACTGTACTTCATTTTTAACTGGATTAGTCTAAGGCTCATGATCAGTGGCCCATTTCTCGAAAGTCCCGGTAACTTTTCGGGCCGGGGAAGCTGTTTTGTGTTTGTTGTGTTTGCATTCAAGATGAAAGCTTCAATAATTTTGAAAATAATACAATGAAACTACCAGTTAACGAAGCAAAACTGACTGGTTTATGGGCTAGGAACGGTTTTACTAAAAGGTTTGGATTTTAATCTTTGCCTTCAGGCCCGTCAAGTTTCCGGGCCTTTCGAGAAACAGGCTCCAGGATCTGATTACCCTGAAAGAGCTGTAAGGGTACAGTAAGCGTAAAGGAATTCAGAACCATTTCAAATAGGAACGTTTAATCGCCGGTGGCCAAATCACTCCCAGATCAAAGCTGGGCCACAATTTCTTTAACAGCTGAGCTTAGCCTGCCTGGTGATAGAAACGACGCGCGCGGGAGAGGAGGACAGAGGCAAGGTAAGAGGTAGCTTCCTTCCTAATCGCGCGCTTCCTCGTTCCTCGCGCCACCTTTTTAGATGCGCCCTAAATTTGTCTTGTGCCTGCTGCGCAAGCTAGGCTGAGTTTGCCAAGATCCACAAAAAGCCCACCTTGAACAATTCGTAATATGCTGGCTTAAAACGGCTACCTCATAATGTTTCGTGTTTCGGCCCAAATTAGTTAAAATGATATTTTTTAAGTCGATAATGTTGTCTTCCCTACTGTACATTTGGGCGTTAAAATTCACCAGAAACCCATTTCCCGTAAAAAATGACAGAACTTCTTTGCAAATGAACCACGGATTTTAATAGAAATTTTGAAAGATTCGACACCAAGTTCCTAAATATTACGTCATAACCACTCCTATAAACCAATGATTAGGATGAATTTTAAGAGATCTTAGCAAGAGAGCGGCACTCCCAAGTTAATTCGCCCAGAAAGAAGTTAAATGGACCAAGGTCGTAATGAAAATAAAAAAGTCTTTTGTCTTAATCAGGATAGCGAAGTGAACGAGTTGGCCGGCCTGAAACAGGCCAGGGTTTGAAGGCCTCAGTGGCACATTGCTACTCCCTGGCTGCCCAAACTTCCCTCAAGTGCCGCACCCAGTGTTCGCCCGCGCGACAGACAGTGGCTCTGATTACTGAATGAAAAGCTAGAGAGATTAAACTTCATGTATACGGGAAACGGCAAACGTCAGATGCAAGTTGAGAATTTCTCAATAGAAAATAAGTAGATAAAAGCTGCTCAAAACAATTCTTATGGATAAAAATTTTTGTAAATCTACTAATTTATGCGTAGAAATAATGAAAGGGAAATGACAAGTAAAGGGGAAACTCGGTCACGTCGTACAAATTAGCGTTTGCAGTTTGACGTAAAAGTGATGTTTAACCTCTCTGGTGCAGACCTTACAAGAATTTTAGGCAAAGGATTGACCGATTTGTCTTATTTATACTGACTAATTAAATTAGCAAAAAATAAAAGATAAAAAAAAGTTTCCTTACCCTAGCTACAAGTTCTCCTTTTTTATTCATACACAGATAGCGATTTGTCTTTTCCGAGCGAATCTTTAACCGACCAGTTAAGTTATCTGACTCAAGAACCAATCTCGCTGCAGGATAAAAAAGGCGTGGCATTAGCAAGCTGGCAAAAAGGAACTGAAGGAAATGAAAAATATAAAAGAAAATGCATGAAGACATGGAAACAACACAGGGGAGAGATCATATCTTCTTTTAAATTTGTATTTCAGCAGTTCACGTCATCTTTAATGTATGTTTCATTCCTTCTTTTAACGAGTTAAGACAAAACAAATCAACCTGCTCCCGTTCTATGGGTCTTTATAGCTCAGTTGGTAGAGCACTGCAGCGCTATTAACACAGAGGCCTGATGGGTTAGAATCCCGTTGAAGTCCCGAAAATGTTTTCGGGTTAAGTTGCAATTGCTTAAACTGCAATTTATTACCCCTGCGACGATCATTCTTCATTTAAACAGGGGAGAGTATTGAGCACATTATAGCTTGAAGTAAATAAAACTAAAATTAATCAAGACTTAGCTTTCGGGACAAGAATACGTTTGCCTTACCCACATTTCATCCGTAACTTTAAGAAAAAAATATTCTCCGGGTATGAGCTAGATTGATGACGTCAAATGATTGAGTGAAACTGGATCAGCCATCCACCAAGAGTGGAAGACAAACCAATCAGAAAAACCAGAAATCAATCAAAATCAATATGAAGATGCAAATGATTAGGCTAATTTTCAAAATTCGAATTTGATTCGAGATTAATGGTCAGACCATAGATCGAGAAAACATAGCTGTTAACGAAATGCCGGGTTGCCTTGTAAGACTTGTAAACACCACATTTTGTGAAACGTTCGTTGTATTAGACAGTCAGTTTATTTGGCGTTATATATTGCCAAGTTAGAGTCAAAGTACAAATGTATACCATTGCAAGTTTTAGGTTTTGATACCGTTTTTCCTAAAAGGAACCAATAAATTCGTTTTAGGTATCTTACATTTATTTTGTAAGTCATTTTTCACGTCATAGTCGCATGCTGATGTATTTTCTTGTTGCTGCTTCTCGAAAGTTGCGAAAAAACTACTAGTGATTGATTTTGAAATATTTTCTGTAACAGGACTGATAAACCGGTAGATAAACTGAGAGATTTTCAGTTCCACCTCCATTGGCGCGGCATGGCTTCGAACCACGTCAGAATTTGTTCAGAATCAGGGGCGGATCTAGGGGGAGGATGCAGGGGGTGCGCACCCCCCCCCCCCAAGATGATCTGCGGTTTTCTAATAGAACTGGTATTCTGAAAAAAAAAAACTATGTGTTTTATTGGTGTTGAAGTAGAGCAAGAGAAGAGTGCACCCCCTTCTAAAAAAATCCTGGATCCGCCCCTGAGAATTATTACCATTTATCTAGCCGGATGTTTGAAAACGTTACTGCCAAAATAGATCTCCTCCGTCAAGCTGGTTTTTATCTATAGTAGCCAAGAATATAAAAATTTAGGGTGCAACCATTAGTTTTTTCTCTTCTCCTTCCTTCTTTCTTCTCTCTCTTTCCGTGATCTTCCTTTCCCTTTTCCTTCGCTAGTGTGATTTTCTTGCTTATTGGACGCAAAAAACCCTTTCTCTTTTGGCCTTTCCTTTTCATTTGAATCGCTAAAAATTTCGGAAGGTAAGTATCCAAAAATCCGACAAGATATATATATTTTGAAATAATAACAGTCTTCTTGACTCATTTGAAAAATAGACACTATTTAGTAACTCCATGCGTTATTGGAAAAAGTACAACTTTTTTTTTTACGATTTCACTCAATGCACTGCACGCGCAAGGCATATGAGAAAGCAAAAGGAGAAAACAGGAAGTAGAAATGAAAAGTCAAAGGCCGGGGTTGGTGTGGTCGTCACAAAATCAATAACAGGAACGATTCGAGCAGGATGGGTTAGGTTGCCTTATGCCCATTAATTATGGTTCCTGCTGCGCGAAACATTGAATGTCAACGGTTAGTCATACCGGAATCGTTAGAATAAAAGATTGCGTCGCATAATTGACCCCGAGCAAAAACCCTGCTTTTTCGTTTTGATAGGCTATGAAAGCTGAGTAAACAGTGATATGTTCTGGGTAATTGATTAACAGTGAAAAGAAAGAAAGTGTCAGGTTTTTTCGCTCCGTACCTTTAAAATTCTTAACTTACTCACAGTTATCACTATTTACTTGATTAACTGTCCTCTGCAATTTCTCTTGGTTTTAAAACATCACTGGAATCAAACAAGTTCCGTCACTTTTCGAGAAACAGTCAAACATGTGCGGCCCATTTGTTTCTTCCACCTGCGGTGCAACCGACAAAACCATTAAAGACCCGGAATCGGCCCTCACTTCTCCTTTGGCTTTTCCTTTGCGCCTCAAAAAGATGACTTTCTTTCGGTGTCAAAGATTTATTGTCGGCGCTGGTAATCGAGCCACGAGGTGCGCCCGGCAATTTCCTTCACAGGACTCCTACCAGCCGCAATGAATTTGTTCGCACGTACTTGAAAAACGTAACTGCTCTCAGTCTAATACAGAGCTAGTTATGTTCCCAATTTTTGTTGTAGAGAAAGATTAATGGTATACATATAATTTTGACAGTGCAGTGAGAAAGGTTATTCGATTTCGTGTTTTTTTTTAAATTGGCGTTTTATAATAGCTTATAATGTTATCAAAAGATCTCGAAACACGAAGGTAATCGCTACAGTTTATCACGGCCTAATTAGATCACGACAAACCACGACTTATTAAATGTACATTCGAGTTCACTCTGCAATGGAGAAATAGTGTTATGTTGTTAAGTTGCCAATAAAATATTTTCTCTCAAAGCATGAAGTTTTGATAGCCTACAAAATTTACTTGTTTTTTCTTCTAACGTAATTAATGGCCGTAATTTTATAAAAACAAACTAAGGAAGTCAAGGTTAGTTCTTGCTCGAATGGTTCTAAGATTTTTTTGTGTGCAACTTACCGTATTCAGAACTCTTGTTGCCACGCGCATTGACTGCCGTGGCCTCCATCTGAATATGCTTGGAAGATGCCCTTGAATATAGACGAACTAACCGCTTAACAGGAGGAGTGTTGGGATCTGACTTGTCGCACTGAATTTTTTCCCATATCTAGACAACGGAGAAAAAAATAAACGTTATTACGATGAAAAGCTTTTTCAGAAATGTGACCCAAACTAAACTTACCGGTATGGAGTCATCTTCGTATGGACACTTCGATCGATGACGAGCCGCACTGGTTATAGAAATCAACGGAAGGCTAGAAAAGATTTATGTGAAGATATTATCAGAATCACACGTGTGGGCTGTTATCTGCAACAGTCCCTCTTTCAAATTGTCAACTTACAGGATTAAAATAAGCCCACAAATCCAATTCAAGGGTGACCGCCTGATCGCCATTGTCGAGTTGTGCGGTGTAGTTGCTGACTACTCTCTCGAATGTAGAAACATCCGATGTTGCGATTTTGCGAGAAAGTCTCAACAAATTGCCCGCTTTTATACTGTTTGTTACTTCATCTCAAGGGGAGGTATTCTCGTCATTTTATCGCCTTGCCCTGAGTGTAAATGAGAAACCGTCAGAGCCGATATCAGTGGGATTTCATCAATCGTGTCCTGTTGCATTTAGCCCCTGAGGTGAAGGATACTTTGGCTTTGTTTGGTTTAGTAAGATGCACTGTTTTTCTTTAGGATAAATTTTGAGGGCGGCTTGTCAAGAATATTTAAGTAAAAATCAAAGTTAAAAATTTTCCGGAATGTGTGGTACATTTGGCTGAGTTGGACAGGAAGTAGATATTTTTTTAGGTGGCATAACACTGAATGAGATGGGAACATGCTTTTCACCGCACTGCAACCTCTCTGGGTTTGAAGGGGAACACATTAACAAATGTTTTTTTAATTACTATATAATATTTTATCTCTTTATCGTCTCCTAGTATTAAGTAACCTACACGCTCAATTGAGAGAAATTGCTCAGTCTTATTAAAGTGTTGAATAATGAACCCTTCTTGTTTGAAAAGTTCAGGTTTTCTTTCACCAAATAAGCTCAACTACAGCACAGTTCAGGTTGTCTATTTTTTTTTTCAAGCCTTCCGTTATTTAATGACACTTTTGTCGTTAGTAATAGGCCTTAATTTTTCTTTCTTTTTTGTATCGGGAAGAAGTGAAGAAAACTAGTCTGATCGTGTTCAGTAAGACACACCATGGCAGGAAAACTGCAGGTAAAGTTATGCCCGCAGCAATGGCCCGTTTTTCTTTAAGTTGTTTAGCAGATGGCGGTATGGATGTGAATTGAAAACATTCGGTATATGAAGAGTTCTGAGTGCATAAAACTTTCTGTCAACGTCTGCCACGTAGTTTTCTCGTTATTTATGGGATTAGCGTGGATATATACATGTGTCAAAGATCCGGACCGTATGCTCATTGTTTAGATACACAGAAGTGGAATTGCAAGGGTATTTTGGGTGTTCCTTTTGCTTCCAAACTAGTATGGCAGCTTCATAATCAATTAGACTAGTATTGTAGCTTCTAGTCCTTGTTATCGGTAACCTTTTCAACTGCAATTTCCGGTGTTAAAACGTTTAATGTTTTACACTCTGTACTCCGCAGAAGTCACAGAACCGATCAAATATCTTTCTACATCAAGAGTACTGTTAGGCCCCATTCACCTCTATCCTGCCACAGTCATTTGCGGAGTATATGGTATAATGTATTCATTGCATATTGCCACTTTTGTACATACGGCTGTCTTTAACTTCGCAAGTTGTACTAAAAAACGATAAAAGCATAGACCGCGAGCCGTGTGCTATTTTTCGTTTGACAGACTCACAGTAATTTACATAATTTTACTTTTTCGCCTACCGCGCATGGCTCTGAGCAGCTGAGAAGAGGAGGATGACCGCTTGCGGTCTAATAAAAGCAGCGACTTATTGTGAGATCTCCATCTTTTCCGCCAGAAAAAGTAAGACGGCATAAAAACTTTGAATCACTGCAAGGCACTAGGCACACCCTTATACCTACTGTGCGTAAAAACCTGGCTCTAATTAACCTGTTTCTTATTTTTGCGAGAGAAAAATCTGCTTGAACAAATAGCTCCTCTTTGACTCGGTTGACTGGGAACCTGGCGGCTTGCAATAAAACACCTGGTTCTCCAAAAGAGTGTGTTGATGTAAATCTACATAATGAAAGCTCAGCTCATCAGTAACGGTTGGTGGCAAGCTGATCTTCGAATCCTATCAGCACCCGCGTTCTTTTTAAAGTGGAAAACGTCTACACCTTAGTCAAAGTAGCTTTACCACCCAAGATTATACTGTATTGTTGTGACCCATTTACTTTGTTATACTGGACAAAGAATGCTTTGATTCCTACGCAGATGTTGCTCTCCACGCGGCCAAGATGCTGGCTCCTCCTGCGGCTACGCTCCATAGGTTTCTGCAATCGCGTGGGTTACTTTTGCGGGAGTAGAACCGGGAAAATTGAAATTATTCGCTCTCAAGTCTTCTGAGCAGGTGTGAAATTGTTTTTTATATATATGACAAAGATAGGTTTAATAGCAAAAGCAGCCATAGAAAACACTAATAAACTCTTCGTGTCCATGCGGCTTTCTCGTGAGAAAAACCAGGAAGTTGTACACCTTTTATGCAGCTCACTAGCCGCCGACCCGGTAATTACATCATTGTGACAAACAGGATGTTCCAATTATTGGCACTTCTTTATTAGAAGTTTTGTCCGCTTCAATATTGACGGATTTTTGAGATGTCAAGGGACCTAAAAGAGCTGTTCATCATTAGTAGATTCGAAGTTTCTGTAGTACAAAGTTAAGAAAGTCTTCATTACACCTGCTCCAGTGAAACCAATGGGAAATGTGTGAAATGAAGTGAGTGTGGATTTCTGGGCTATAGAAAAATTTATGTACGTTCATGTCAACTCATTTCTAGTAACTCTTTGATATCGCTTTGTTTTCCTACAGACAATTGGTGCCAGATGCATGAGACCTGAGTCGTATTAAAAGGACCCATCATTGTAAGTTTCGGCTTGTTCGTATTCTGTATTTGTTAGTAAAATGATAGATGATAGCAAACCGTGAAACAGCCCGCACATTCCACCGCACGCTGTTGGTTGAGGCTTTCACATTCGTAGCATGTGGGCCGAGTGGGCAAAAGAAAAACTTTCACCTCTTTCTACTCCTTTTCCTTTGGTCTCCCACGTAAGAGCTTCCGCATCACGTTAATCCAGGTCTTAATCGACCCTTATATACTCGTAGACGTAATAATTTCCTAACATAGTCAGACGAGTCCATTTTTATTTCATCTTTATTTGATTGCTTTTGGAAACAAAAGAGGAATTCGGGAAAGCGGTGGAAAAAATTATGGCGGGATGGAGGATTTTCGTGGGGGGAGCGGGAATGCAGGATTCGGACACCCTACCCCTCCCCTCTTTCCAGACCCTGTTGTAAGCGCTGGATCAATTTATAAATTCCTTTCGACAAAAAAAAAATGTGCTTTTAGTACGTGTTTATGGCTCAATTTGAAAAAGACTGGAATACAAAGAGCCCCAGTAAGGCACGATTTAACCTGCGTAACATCGGAAGAGTTGGTTGGGGGAGCAAAGAAGACCAAAGAAAGACCGAGTAACCGGGATTTCCAGATTAGGTAACGCGAGTAATGAAACGTCCCCGCTCTTTAACTCGCGCCATTTTTCGCGCGGCCTTTGACTCTCGTTCCTCGTTTTTTGCTCCCGAAACTGTTAGGTACGATTTCGATGTTCTCAGTTAAATCTGGATTATCGTTAACTATTATGGTTAACCACAGGGTTAACCATTAATTAAAAGGACTAATGAACGACAGAGATATTTTACGGACCGCACAAGCCAACGCTTATAGCTTCGGATCATTTGAATCAAAAGGCTTAACCTTATCCGTTTTCAAGTTCCATCAAAGCACAGTTAATTAAAGTAACGTATTCTGCTAAAATAAACTAGAAGCAGAATGACCTTGATGACCATCGTATTACCTGAGCCAGTAGAGGAAAAGGTGAGTTTTTTATTTGAGTCCAAAACGTTTATCTTCAGTGGCGTTGTGTTATAAGCCAATAATTCATTAGAACAGTGATTTTTCTTCTCAGTGACACCTATAATTTCAGCCTTTTTAAAATCAGTAACTTTTGCAGTGAATGGTGAGGTTTATATAAACACTTCGGGCGTTCTAACCTGCGTTGGAGGCGTTGACTCGCAGTGTGTGCGTGTGTGCGTGCGTGCGTGCGTTCGACTTGCTACAAGCAGCTGTACAAGTCGACTTCTCAAAAGTTGTAAAAAACCGAACGAAGCGAACTTCAATAAGGTGGCTCAGTGACTGAGCGAGCGACTATTATTTATTGTTATTTGTAAGTAAATTTTACTCATTGGCGCTTTTATCAAGATCCGCTGCCTGTTAAACCGCCCTGATTAGCTATTTAGCTATTTGCGAATGGCAAAAAGCAAATAATCATGTATCAAAACGTAAAGAAACGTTGTTGAAAAGTCTTAACTTAGTTTCTTTTTGCGGGTCAGTTTACTGACAGCAAATCTACTCTGCTAGAAGCAAGTTGTAAGGCTACGTAACCGATTTATCATATGATTTCATTTACATCGAATCAGGAGTGTCATGTGATCCATCTTTATCTAACTCCTCGTTGATGTCTTGGGGGTAGTCATCATAACGGCTTATGGGGAATCTTCGAAACCGAAACACTTTTGAAGGCAAAACCACAACGACAAACCATTGAGGGTCAGCCGGATATTTAGTAGATCTGGATCAGTAAAATCTTCATACCAAATTTTAGTATTAAAATAGTAAATTGATCCTTACCGCAGAAGGAGTGATAGAAAAAAATAAAGAAAGAAAACAAAAATAAAATGGTGAATCATATTTTCCCGACATTTCGGTTTGCGACGCAATCCTTCAACTGGTGCTTAAAGAAAAAAGGAAAAAAATGAGGGAGGCTCCGCTCGAAAAGGGTTACCTTTTTCAGGCTTCATGTGTATAAAAGGGCAGGGGTTTCATTGGTTGAAGTATATGAAAGTGTGGGGAAAACTTTCAATGCAGTCTGTGAAAGGTCCTAAAAGGGATAACAGACGCATTTTATGGCTACCAAGAAAAATTTTAGGTTTAGTGATTTATTAGCCTGTGTACAGACGTCCCCTCCTCCCTCAGGAAAAAATCGGGAGAGGAGACGACCGCAAGTGATTTATTTTTGCCGCGCATTTACAGCAGTTAAAAAGGTTGCAGCGTTCTAACAAGTATGTGAAAGGGGTGCCATTTGTCAACAAAAGGTATACTAAAGAGGTACCATTTCTGTCAAAAATGGTCTATAGAAGGATAAGGGGTTGGACCTCGGAGCGGAGCGGAGCCTCCCCGTTCAAAATT